GAAAGCCTAAATAAATAAAAGTGCAGCGCTAGATATGAATGGTAAATAAAAAAATGATAAATTGTTGCATAAATATTATAAATGCATAGTTAGGCAGTTCATAAAATATGTAACGGATAATCCACTTGATGTAGCCGTATATCAAGGAAAGGTGTCACAGGAACAAGTAATAAAAGTGCGCACTCACCGGACGCACTCAAATCAAGCGCCTGTAATCAATATCCACTCAGATCACTTAGGAAAGCGGAGAAGGTGAGCTACCATCTAAAGGTAAGTAATCCTGGTAATCCTGTCTCGGTAGTATGTAGTAAAAAACTTCCAGGTCCAGAGGTCCCCTTAAGGCTGGATGGGTGCATGAACTGGATACAGAGCTCCCTCCCTCTGGTGGTGGTGGATAGTGGTGAGATGTCCTGGAAAACAATTAGCTCCAATGGGAGCCAAGAACGGTGCCCATAGTGTAGTATGGTTAAAAAGACTTTATTCACAAAGATGCAGTATTAAAGCAGGGTAGTATACACTCCTTGTAAATCAATAATTGATGAAGAGTAGTACTGACCCCTTAGTAAAGATCGCCTCGTGGCTCCGGGCGCCTGTGACGGCACGCTCTGTTGGCTCCTCCTAAGGCCTGTTGGTTATGTGTTATAGAAGACACTGGTAGTGATAGCAGAATTCAGGCTTTACTTGTGTGGCTTAAGTTACAAACATACAGAGCACATTTCACAGCAGACATATTACTTCCTGAAGAGATGATAGAGAGAGAAGAGGAACAAACAAGTTTTCAGATATACGTGCCATCTACTGGTCAAGTGATATTAACACACAATACTATATATAGTACATTATAGTACATGCTGTTGCATTCCCAACACCCCTTCTCAACGGCATGTGCATAATTATATGACATTTAGTCTCTTTTGTAGAAAACAATAACGTTCCCTTGGCAAAGGTTTGGTGAGTGCATCTGCATCATCTCCTCTGATGGGCAGTACTGGATGTCGATAACCCCTTGTTCTTGCATGTCTCTGAGCAGATGATATCTTACATCAATGTGTTTGGTTCTTGGGTTAATCTTCTCAGAGTGTGCAAGCTTTATGCATCCCTGATTGTCTTCAAAGATGGGTGTAGGTTGTGACATATTCAGTCCCATGTCTAGTAGAAGTTGACGAATCCAAATGGCTTCTTGACATGCATGTGCTGCTGCTATGTATTCCGCTTCAGTTGAAGAGAGTGCAAACAGTCACTTGTTTCCGACTAGACCAGCTTATGGTTCCTTTTCCATACTGGAAGATGTAACCACTTGTAGATTTGCGGTCAGTGGTGTCTCCAGCCCAATCGGCGTCCACATATCCAATCAGTTTTGGGTTTGACGATGCTGGAAGTCGCAGCTTCATCCGATTTGTTCCCTTTAGGTATTGCATTACCCTCTTTACTGCATTCCAGTCGCGTTGACACGGTGTTGTGACTTTCCTGCAAAGTATTCCCACTGCTAGGGCGATGTCTGGTCTTGTCACGATGGCGATGTATAGCAATTTTTCCCGATTGCCCTGCGGTAATAATCATTGTTAGGTAACAAGTTTTCTGTTCCATTGTTTTTTTAGATAATCTGGTTCCATTGGTGTTTTCACTTCCTTTGCATCTTGCATGTGAAACTGTTCTAACATTTCTGTAATTTTATGACTTTGGTTAAGAAGATAGCTTCCATCCTCTTCCCGCTCTATTTGAATTCCTAGGTAGTGAGTAATGTTCCCCAACTCTTTAATTTCAAAATTTTTTTCAGTTTGTGAACTATTTGGTCATAGTCCCCTTCTTGTTCAAAACACGTCAAGATGTCATCGACGTATATTTAGGATGTATGTCCATTTGTTCTCTTGATTCTTTGAATACAGACATAAATCTGCTTTACTTTTTGAGAACCCTTCCTTTCTGAGTATTTCGTTTCACTTTTTCATTCCATGCTCTCGCGCCACTTGTTTGAGCCCGTAGATGCTCTTTTGCAGTTTGCATACAAGGTTCTTTTCTTTCTCAAATCCTGGTGGCTGTTCCCATGTACAGATCCTCCTTGATGTCTCCATACAAAAAGGCAGTTTTGACATCTAGATGCTTTACTTGCATTCCCTTTCTGGCAGCAATACTAAGGAGTGTTCTTATGGTAGAATGTTTCACAACTGGAGCGAATGTCTCATCGTAATCTTCTCCAAATTTCTGGGAGTATCCCTTGGCAACTAATCTTGCTTTGTATCTATGGATGTTTCCTTCTGCATCATATTTTACTTTAAAAGTCCCATTTGCTTCCGATGGTTTGCGACCAGGAGGGAGTTCTGTTAGTTTTTATTTTCTTGAAAGTGATTTTATTTCTTCTTCAGCTGCTTTTCTCCACTGATCGGCTTCCCTTCTCTGCAAAGTTTCTATGTCTTCCCAGGATGTTGGCTCCCTGTGTTTGATGTGTTTTAGCAGCGTATGATAACCTGCGGGAGGGTGGTATTCCTTTTGTCATTTGAGAGGATCTTCTGATTTCTTGTTGTTCAGTGGATTCTATTGGATCGTTGATTGTAAGTTCCACTTCTTGTTATGGCTCTTGTCCTGCTTCGCATAAATCAGTGTCTCTTGCCGATTCAGTGTGTAAAATCCTCTCCACATTTTCAAGAGTTGTATTATCTGGTTCTTCACTTTCATTAAAATAAACACTGCGGCTTACTGTGACCTTGTTGGTCCTTGGGACAAAGGATTCTATATCCCTTACTCTGCTCACTGTAGCCCACCAGAAATGCCTTCTATGGCTTTGTTCTCCAACTTGGAGCGTTTCTGACTTGGAATGTGGGCATATGCTTTACTAACAGCCAAATACTCTGATTTATGTCCTATGTTGGGTTTTGATCCATTCCACATTTTCATATGGTGTACTCTCAATAGCTTTTTTGATGGGAGCCTGTTTTGTAGGTATGTTGCAGTCATTATTGCTTCTCCCCAGTATTTGTTAGGTAAGGCAGCGTCCGTAATCATACATCTTGTCATTTCTACAAGAGTGTGATTCTTTCTTTCCGCTACACCGTTTTGCTCAGGAGTGTATGGTACAGTTGTTTGGTGTATAATACCTTGTTTCTTTAGGTATGAATCCATCTCTTTATTCATATATTCCCCTCCATTGTCAGTGCGTATTATTCCAGGTTTCCTTTGAAACTTGTTGCTTGTCATAGCTACAAACTCTTGAAGTTTTTCTAATGTCTCACTTTTGTGCTTCATTAGATACGTTATTGTGTACCGGGAATAATCATCGATGAAAGTCAGTAAATACCTGTTCCTGCCAGGTGTGATGGTTTTCATTGGTCCGCACACATCACTGTGTATCAGTTCCATGGGTTTTAAATGGTTTTACTCTGACTGGTCTGTGGAAGAGAGGTTCGGGTGGCCTTTGCTTTGATGTAAAAAAAAAAAACACGTGCACTTGCTGACTTTGTGGCAAGGCAATATTTTCATGTTTTCTGATAGACCTCTCTTTGCAAAGTCCTTTATAGCTTCTGGGTTTCGATGCCCCAATCTTCTATGCCACAGGTGGATGCACAGCTTGTCATGTGGGCTAGGAGTTGCCGCATTGGCCTTCTCACTTTCAGTGATGAGTTTGTACAGATGTTCATTTAATCTTCCTCTTGCTAGAATTTGCTTTCCATTTTGAATTGTGCATTCATTACCTCTGAACTGGACAGTGAGTCCATATGCTTGCAAGGGTTTTAACTGATAGGAGGCTTCCGTCTAGGCTTGGAACATATAGAACATTCTTTACAAGGATGCTCTGCTTGCCCCCTGATGGCGTTTTGCAGTTTCAGAAATCCCTGACCTTTACCTTCTGCTGTAATACTTTTCCCATTTGCTAGGAAGACTTTATCTTTTTACACTAAAATCAATTTCTGTGAAGAATGTCTCATCGCTTGTCATGTGACTTGTTGCCCCTGAATCAATGTACCATCCATGTGAGGTACTATTCTGAGTCACTTTAAAGTACCACTCCATGATGCACTTTCATTTTCTTTCATGACCGCTTTAGCTCTTGTGGGTAGCTCCCGCTTTCGCTGCTCAGCTTTCCAGATTGTACAGTTCTTTTTTCAGGTGGCCTTTTTGCAGCGAAAACATACCCTGGTTTCTTTGCTTTGTCTTATGCCTTCATTGCACCTTCAGAGCTGCCTCTGGTCTCTCGATCTCTTCACTATGCAAATTTTCCTTTCTTCTGCTGTATTCATTAGAGATGAGCGAAGTATTCAAAAAATTCGATTCGACTGATTCGGCGAATTCGTGGACAATATTCGATTCGAGTCGAATATATTCGCTGTGAAATTTTAACTTAAAAAAGGGTGTTTCTAGGCTTCAGAGAGACTTAATATTAGTGCAGAACACTGTACCTTTAATTTAAAAAGCCCTTGGAGTCTGCTGGGGAAGAGAAATAATACTGTCAGTCAGTATGACATGCAGATGAGTGCCGTCGATCTTAGAATCACCGCACACTTCACTCATTTGGCCAGTCACGGGGCCAAAACCAGTGTTTGGAGCCCACAGTGTGGCGGTGGACAGGCAGCAGCAATGGGGAGGCCATACAGCAACCCTATGACAAAAATGGAAACCAGCAGGAGATGTGAGGAGACCTCAAAGTGGCACATGGCAGAGTGGGAGCAATGGGAGGCGGTACAGGGACCCAATGTCACACTGTGGACCCAGCAGCAGCGTGACGAGGCGGTACGGGGCCCATGGCAGATTTGGGGCCTGGCAGCACCTATGGGAGGCCTGTAATCTGCCAGCAACCTATGACAAAATGGAAAAACAGCAGGAGTGTGAGGAGACCTCAAAGTGAGGAGGCACATGGCAGAGTGGGAGCAATGGGAGGCGGTTACAGGGACCCAAGTCACACTGTGGACCCAGCAGCAACAGCCGTGACCAGGCTGGTACGGGGGCCCATGGCAGATTACAGGGCCTGGCAGCAGCAATGGGAGGCCCGTAATCTGTCAGCACCCTATGACAAAAAATGGAACACACCAGCAGTGTGTGAGGAGACCTGAAAGTGGCACATGGCAGAGTGTGTGGCGATGGAGACAGCAGCAAATGGGAGGCCGTACAGGGACCCATGAGAGACTCTGGACCTGGGCAGCAGCATGAGGAGGCGGTATAGGGGGCCCATGGCAGATTAGGGGCCTGGCAGCAGCTATAGGAGGCCCGTAATCTGCCAGCAACCTATGACAAAAAAATTCAACACACCAGCAGCAGTGTGAGGAGACCTGAAAGTGGCACATGGCATGAGACACTGTGGACCCTGGCAGCAGCATGAGGAGGCGGTATAGGGGCCCATGGCAGATCAGGGGCCTGGGGAGCGCTATGGGAGGCCCGTAATCTGCCAGCACCCTATGTCAAAAAAATTCAACACACCTGCAGTGTGAGGAGACCTGAAAGTGGCACATGGGCAGAGTGTGGCGATGGAGACAGCAGCAATTGGGAGGCCGTACAGGCACCATGACAGACTCTGGACCTGGCAGCAGCATGAGAGGAGGCGGTATATAGGGGCCTATGGCAGATTAGGGGCCTGGCAGCAGCTATTAGGAGGCCCGTAATCTTGCCAGCAACCCTATGTCAAAAAATTCAACACACCAGCAGTGTGTGAGGAGACCTGACCTAAGTGGCACATGGCAGAGTGTGGCGATGGAGACAGCAGCAATGGGAGGGCCGTACAGGCACCCATGACAGACTCTGGACTTGGCAGCAGCATGAGGAGGCGGTATAGGGGCCCATGGCAGATTAGGGGCCTGGCAGCAGCTATGGGAGGCCGTAATCTGCCAGCACCCTATGTCAAAAAATTCAACACACCAGCAGTGTGAGGAGACCTGAAAGTGGCACATGGCAGAGTGTGGCGATGGAAGACAGCAGCAATGGGAGGGCCGTACAGGGACCCATGAGAGACTCTGGGAACCTGGCGAGCAGCATGAGGAGGCGGTATATAGGGGGCCTACTGGCAGATTAGGGGCCTGGCAGCAGCTAATAGAAGGCCTGTAATCTGCCAGCAACCCTATGTCAAAAAATTCAACACACCCAGCAGTGTGAGGAGACCTGAAAGTGGCACATGGCAGAGTGTGGCGATGGAGACAGCAGCAATGGGAGGCCGTACAGGCACCCATTGACAGACTCTGGACCTGGCAGCAGCATTGAGAAGGCGGTATATAAGGGCCTATGGCAGATTAGGGGGCCTGGCAGGCAGCTATATAGGAGGCCCGTAATCTGCCAGCACCCTATGTCATAAAATTCAACACACCAGCCAGCTGTGTGGTGAGGCACATGGAGCCTGAAATGTGGCACATGGCAGAGTTGTGGGCGATAGGGACCTGGACCGCAGCAATGGGAGGTCCCAGCCTTACAGGGACCCATGTCAAGAGACTCTGGTACACACCTGGCAGTGGCACAGCAGGATTTGAGGAGCAATGGTGGTTATAGGGGCCTGGCTAGCATGGCAGACTCTAGGGGCCTAGGCAGCAGCTATAGGAGGCCCGTAATCTGCCAGCACCCTATGTCAAAAATTTCAAACACACCAGCAGTCGGTGAGGAGACCTGAAAGTGGCACATGGCAGAGTGTGGCGATGGGAGACAGCAGCAATGGGAGGCCGTTACAGGCACCCATGACAGACTCTGGACCTGGCAGCAGCATGAGGAGGCGGTATATAGGGGCCCATGGCAGATTAGGGGCCTGGCAGCAGCTATTGGAGGGCCGTAATGCTGACAAGCCTCCCCTATTGTCAAAAATTCAACACACCAGAGTGTGTGAGGAGACCTGAAAGTGGACAACCATGGCAGAGTGTGTGGCGATGGAGGACAGCAGCAATGGGAGGCAGGTAGTACAGGGGAACCCATGAGACACTCTGAGTCTGTAGGCTCTAGCAGCATGATCAGGAGGCGCGGGTATAGTAGAGGGCCGCATGGCAGATATTAGGGGCCTCGGCAGAGTATATGGGGAGGCCGTAGTGTCATGGCGATTAGGGGCCTGGCAGCAGCTATGGGAGGCCCGTAATCTGCCAGCACCCCTATAGTCAAAAAAATTCAACACACCAGCAGTGTGAGGAGACCTGAAAGTGGGAACATGGCAGATGGCGACTGGGAGACAGAGCAATGGGAACCGTGGCAGGCAGCATGAGGAGGCGGTGGCGGTATAGGGGCCCTTGGCAGATTTGGGGCCTGGGCAGCAGCTATGGGAGGCCCGTAATCTGCCAGCACCCTATGACAAAAATGGAACACCACCAGCAGTTGTGTGAGGAGACCTGAAAGTGGCACATGTTTGAGGCATGATTCATGGCGGATTTAGTCAGTTGTGTCAGGAACTGGTGGTTTGAAATCCAGACTAATCCACGCCTGATTCATTTTCACAAACGTGAGTCTCTCCACACTTTGGGTGGACAGTCGTGTCCTTCCGCGGAGTTACAATACCTCCTGCCGCACTAAACACGCGCTCCGATGCCACGCTACTGGCCGGGCATGACAGCCTTTCAAGGGCAAATTCAGCTAGTTGGGGCCCAAAGGTCAAGTTTCGTTGCCCAGTAGTCAAGGGGATTGTCTACCTCGGTTGGCAGGGTGCTGTCCAAGTAGGCCCAAGCCTGTTGTTTGAGGTCCTGCTCCAGGTCCACCTGATTGCTGCTGCTGCTGCGGCTGGTTAGTAGTTTCCTCACTGCGCTGGTGAAGAAAGCTACTCATCATCGACTGCAGACTGAGGCAGCAGCCGCTGCTGGTGGAGCTGCCACTGCTCCTACCACCCCACCCCTCCCCTGCTGCCATGGCAGCGGAACGCGCGAGCGCACAGGGCCCACAGTGTCTGAGGATGGACGTTGGCGCACAAAGGCAGAGACCAACTGACTACATAGGTGGTTTTTATAGTACGTTATTTTGGCCTCCCTCTCAGCAGGTGTGAAAAAGGCCACCATTTTTGAACGGTTAGCGAGGGTCCAACAAGGTGGACAGCCAAAAGTCATCCCTCTGTCTGATGGTTATTATTCGGCTGTCGCTACGCAAGCAACCGAGCATGCTATGGGCCATTTGTGCCAAGGAATGCGAGGGACTCCCTGCCTCCATCTCCACAGCATACTGCCACGGTGCGTCTGGGTCCTCTGTCTCCTCCTCCTCCTCCTCTACCAGATGCTCCTGCTCCTCCACTCCTGTCCGCTGAGTGGAAAAACCACCCATTTCACTCAATAATTCCTGAGCACAAATGTCCTCCTCTACCTCCTCCTCTTCTTCCTGTCCTGCCCCCACAGGGGTCATGTGGCGTTGAGATCTGTGCGCCACGTCTACCGCACCCTGACCAGCCATTGTTAACAGCATTTGTTCAGGACGTGCAACAGAGGAATGACGTCGTTCATCCCATAGTCCTGCCGACTCACGAATAGCGTGGCCTCCTCAAAGGGCCTGAGCAAGCGGCAGGTGTCACGCATGAGCTGCCAATGGCTGACATCGAAGTTACACAGGGGAGTACCTTTATCCGCTTGTAACATCAGGAAATCGGGTGATGGCCTTTCGCTGTTCGTAAAGGCGGTCTAACATGTGTAGGGTTGAATTCCACCTTGTTGCAACGTCGCAGATCAGGCGATGCTGTGGAATTCCGTTCTGCCGCTGCAGCTCAAGGAGGGTGTGCTTTGCGGTGTAGGAATGGCTGAAATGCATGCAAAGTTTACGTGACATTTTAAGGATGTCTTGCAGTGGGATGGTGGATTTTAGGAACCGCTTGACAACCAGATTGAACACGTGAGCCATGCATGGCGCATGGCACAACCTTCCTTGACGCAGAGCAGACACCATGTTCTTTCCGTTGTTGTCGGTCAACATGGTTCCGATTTTCAGTTTGCGCGGAGACAGCCATCTGTCGATTTCTCTGTTCATTACACTCAGAAGTTCCTCCCCTGTGTGACTACGTTCGCCAAGGCATACCAGGTGCAGCACAGCGTGACACCGTTGCGCCCTGCACATGTGATATGCCGGTTCGGGGGTAATGGGACTTGGCACGGGGGTGGCGGCTGAGGAGGACGGCGGAAGAAGAGGTGGTAGAGGCGGACATCTTTTGTGGACCAAGGACGTGCAAACGTGGAGGCAAAAGCGGCGTGACCTGTCCAAGTTGCTGGTGCGGCTGTGACGGCACCACGTTCACCCAGTGGGCCGTAAATGACATGTACTGTCCCTGACCGTAGTTACAGCTCCACACGTCGGCGCTGCCGTGCACTTTGGCAGAGACCGACATGCTCAAAGACTGGCCCACCATCTCTTCTACATGTGAATGCAGGGCTGGCACTGCCTTTTTGGCGAAGAAATGACGGCTTGGCACTCTCCACCGCGCGGCGCGGCACAAGCCATCATTTCTCGGAAAGGTGCTGAGTCCACCACTTGGAAAGGGAGGGACTGCAGCACCAGCAACTTGGACAGGAGGACGTTCAGCTTTTGCACCGTCGGGTGCGTGCTCGCAAACTGTTGTCTCTTGGAAACGGATTCCAAGAAAGACTGCTGACGGAATCCGTGAAGAGGAGTAGCAGGAGAAGGAGCATCTGAACGAGCGGAAGATGCCAACGAGCGACAACTCCCCTCAGCAGAGGTGTTGGAGCCTTGACTGGCTGATGGAGGGCGATTGACGTCGGGTGACGGAGCAAGTAACGGAGCGGGTGATGGATGGAGCGGGGGCTGGGGCGGGCAGAACCGCCGTATCTTTATCACGGTTTTCCCAGGCCACCAAATGGCGACGCTGCATATGCTGCCGCAACGCTGCTAGTCCCAACATGGGCCCCCTGGCCACGCTTGACTTTCTGGCCACATAGTCGACATACGGCTACGTTTACTTCCTCGGGCGGGCTTGACGAAAAATTGCCACACCGCCGAGTAGGAAACTTTGCCCCCGATACTCCTCACTGGCTGACTGCTGCTTCCTCCGTGCACACCGGCACCACTACTGGCCGTGGTGGTAGGCTGCAGTGGAGCTGGTGCTCTACTCCGTGGCCGTTTGGCTCCACTGACACTGCTGCGACCTGCTGCTGTCTCCTGGGCAACCCACCGACTGTTTCGCTCGCTGCCAAGCTGCCACCCTCTTCTCCTGATGATGCGGAAGAAATTGCCTGATGACGACGAGGCTGCCAAGTGCGATCAACCTCCTCATCATCAAGTAGGGTCTCCGCCTCACTACTAGCCCCCTCGGCTGCGTCTGGGTCAGGAGACAGACCTGTCTCTAGACCGGCTACGAGCCACTCTCCTCGCCACTACTTCTTCGCCTGGCTGCTGAAAAGGCGGATGTCTCCCCCCGTTCCTGACCGCCCTCTGTTAGCTCTTCCTCACTGTACAGTGGGGCTGAGCCCACACAGCATGCGATACTTCGCTTGGTGAGGGAACACCAAAGGACAGGGGCAGGTAGAGGACACGTGATTTCAGTGGGCTTGGTCCCGGGCCATGCCAACTAACGGTTGTGTCTGACGTACCCACCGACCGTTGGCTGTAGGTGTCAGAGGTGACCTGGGAAGAGGAAGACGACCGAGCCAACCAATCGATGACGGCAGGGTTGTCGGTGGAGACACGACCGCTGGATGACACCGGGAGCACTGGCCTCTGGCTGCGAATAGTGCTGCCTCGACCCCTTCCTCTGCTGCCACGTCTGCTCGCTCCTAAAACATTGCCTCCTCTGCCACTCCTCTGCATGTTGTCTGACATACTCTTTAATTCAACGATTCTGTGTCCCTGAGTAACAATTCTGTGTCCCTGAGTAACAATTCTGTGTCTGTCCCTGAGTAACAATTCTGTGGCCCTAAGTAACGGTTCTGTGGCCCTCAGTAACAATTCTGTGTCCCTCAGTAACAATTCTGTGTCTGTCCCTGAGTAACAATTCTGTGGCCCATAAGTAACGGTTCTGTGGCCCTCAGTAACAATTCTGTGTCCTGATTAACGTTTATGTGGCCCTAAGTAACGGTTCTGTGGCCCTCAGTAACAATTCTGTGTGTCCCTGAGTAACAATTCTGTGTCTGTCCTGAGTAACAATTCTGTGGCCCTAAGTAGTAACAATTCTGTGGCCCTCAGTAACAATTCTGTGTCCCTGAGTAACAATTCTGTGGCCCTAAGTAACGGTTTCTGTGGCCCCTCCCAGTAACAATTCTGTGTCCCTGAGTAACAATTCTGTGGCCCTAAGTAACGGTTCTGTGGCCCTCAGTAACAATTCTGTGTCCCTCAGTAACAATTCTGTGGCCCTGAGTGTCTGTGGTCCCAGAGTAACGTGGCTTTCTGTGGCTCTAAGTAACGGTTCTGTGGCCCTCAGTAACAATTCTGTGTCCCTGTTCTGTGGCCAGTAACAATTCTGTGGCCCTAAGTAACGTTTCTGTGGCCCTAAGTAACGGTTCTGTGGCCCTCAGTAACAATTCTGTGTCCCTAAGAAACAATTCTGTGTCTGTCCCTGAGTAACAATTCTGTGGCCCTAAGTAACGGTTCTGTGTGGCCCTCAGTAACAATTCTGTGTCCCCTGATTAACGTTATCTGTGGCCCTAAGTAACGGTTCTGTGGCCCTCAGTAACAATTCTGTGTCCCTGATTAACAATTCTGTGTGGCCCTAAGTAACGGTTCTGTGGCCCTCAGTAACAATTCTGTGTCCCTCAGTAACAATTCTGTGTCTGTCCCTGAGTAACAATTCTGTGGCCCTAAGTAACGGTTCTGTGGCCCTCAGTAACAATTCTGTGTCCTGAGTAACAATTCTGTGGCCCTAAGTAACGGTTCTGTGGCCCTCAGTAACAATTCTGTGTCCCTCAGTAACAATTCTGTGTCTGTCCCTGAGTAACGTTTCTGTGGCCCTAAGTAACGGTTCTCTGGCCCTCAGTAACAATTCTGTGTCCCTGAGTAACGTTTCTGTGGCCCTAAGTAACGGTTCTGTGGCCCTCAGTAACAATTCTGTGTCCCTCAAGTAACAATTCTGTGTCTGTCCCTGAGTAACAATTCTGTGGCCCTAAGTAACGGTTCTGTGGCCCTCAGTAACAATTCTGTGTCCCTGAGTAACTTTTATGTGGCCCTAAGTAACGGTTCTGTGGCCCTCAGTAACAATTCTGTGTCCCTGAGTAAACGTTTTCTGTGGCCCTAAGTAACGGTTCTGTGGCCCTCAGTAACAATTCTGTGTCCCTCAGTAACAATTCTGTGTCTGTCCCTGAGTAAACAATTCTGTGGCCCTAAGTAACGGTTCTGTGGCCCTCAGTAACAATTCTGTGTCCCTGAGTAACAATTCTGTGGCCCTAAGTAACGGTTCTGTGGCCCTCAGTAACAATTCTGTGTCCCTGAGTAACAATTCTGTGTCTGTCCGAGTAACAATTCTGTGGCCCTAAGTAACAGTTCTGTGGCCCTCAGTAACAATTCTGTGTCTGTCCCTGAGTAACAATTCTGTGGCCCTAAGTAACGGTTCTGTGGGCCCTCAGTAACAATTCTGTGTCCCTGAGTAACAATTCTGTGGCCCTAAGTAACAATTCTGTGGCCCTCAGTAACAATTCTGTGTCCCTCAGTAACAATTCTGTGTCTGTCCCTGAGTAACAATTCTGTGGCCCTAAGTAACGGTTCTGTGGCCCTCAGTAACAATTCTGTGTCCCTGAGTAACGTTTCTGTGGCCCTAAGTAACGGTTCTGTGGCCCTCAGTAACAATTCTGTGTCCCTGAGTAACAATTCTGTGTCTGTCCCTGAGTAACAATTCTGTGGCCCTAAGTAACAGTTCTGTGTGGCCCTCAGTAACAATTCTGTCTGTCCCTGAGTAACAATTCTGTGGCCCTAAGTAACGGTTCTGTGGCCCTCAGTAACAATTCTGTGTCCCTGAGTAACAATTCTGTGGCCCTAAGTAACGTTCTGTGGCCCCTCAGTAACAATTCTGTGTCCCTCAGTAACAATTCTGTGTCTGTCCCCTGAGTAACAATTCTGTGGCCCTAAGTAACGGTTCTGTGGCCCTCAGTAACAATTCTGTGTCCCTGAGTAACAATTCTGTGGCCCTAAGTAACGGTTCTGTGGCCCTCAGTAACAATTCTGTGTCCCTGAGTAACGTTTCTGTGGCCCTAAGTAACGGTTCTGTGGCCCTCAGTAACAATTCTGTGTCCCTCAGTAAACAATTCTGTGTCTGTCCCTGAGTAACAATTCTGTGGCCCTAAGTAACGGTTCTGTGGCCCTCAGTAACAATTCTGTGGCCCTGAGTAACGTTTCTGTGGCCCTAAGTAACAATTCTGTGGCCCTCAGTAACAATTCTGTCTGTCCCTGAGTAACAAATTCTGTGTGGCCCGAGTAACTAACGTTTCTGTGGCCCTAAGTAACAGTTTCTGTGGCCCTCAGTAACAATTCTGTGTCCCATCCCTGAGTAACAATTGTGGCCCTAAGTCTGTCTGTGGAGTAACAATTCTGTGGCCCTAAGTAACAATTCTGTGGCCCTAAGTAACAAGTTCTGTGGCCCTCAGTAACAATTCTGTGTCCCTCAGTAACAATTCTGTGTCTGTCCTGAGTAACTAATTCTGTGGCCCTAAGTAATTTTCTGTGGCCCTCAGTAACAATTCTGTGTCCCTGAGTAACAATTCTGTGGCCCTAAGTAACGTTTCTGTGTCCCCTAAGTAACGTTTCTGTGGCCCCAGTAAACGTTTCTGTGTCCCTGAGTAACTTTTCTGTGGCCCTCAGTAACAATTCTGTGGCCCTCAGTAACAATTCTGTGTCTGTCCCTGAGTAACAATTCTGTGGCCCTAACTAACGTTTCTGTGGCCCTAAGTAACAGTTTCTGTGGCCCTCAGTAACAATTCTGTGGCCCCTGAGTAACAATTCTGTGTGGCCCTAAGTAACGTTTCTGTGGCCCTAAGTAACGTTTCTGTGGCCCTCAGTAACAATTCTGTGTCCCTGAGTAACAATTCTGTGGCCCTAATAACGTTTCTGTGGCCCTAAGTAACAGTTCTGTGGCCCTCAGTAACAATTCTGTGTCTGTCCCTGAGTAACAATTCTGTGGCCCTAAGTAACGTTTCTGTGGCCCTAAGTAACAGTTCTGTGGCCCTCAGTAACAATTCTGTGTCTGTCGCTCACGTTTCTCTAAGTAACAATTCTGTGGCACTCAGTAACAATTCTGTCTGTCCCTGAGTAACAATTCTGTGGCCCTAACTAACGTTTCTGTGGCCCTAAGTAACAGTTCTGTGGCCCTCAGTAACAATTCTGTGTGTCCCTGAGTAACTTTTCTGTGGCCCTAAGTAACAATTCTGTGTCCCTAAGTAACGTTTTCTGTGGCCCTAAGTAACAGTTCTGTGGCCCTCAGTAACAATTCTGTGTCTGTCCCTGAGTAACAATTCTGTGGCCCTAACTAACGTTTCTGTGGCCCTAAGTAACAGTTCTGTGGCCCTCAGTAACAATTCTGTGTCTGTCCCTGAGTAACAATTCTGTGGCCCTAACTAACGTTTCTGTGGCCCTAAGTAACAGTTCTGTGCCCCTCAGTAACAATTCTGTGTCTGTCCCTGAGTAACAATTCTGTGGCCCTAACTAACGTTTCTGTGGCCCTAAGTAACAATTCTGTGGCACTCAGTAACAATTCTGTCTGTCCCTGAGTAACAATTCTGTGGCCCTAATAACGTTTCTGTGGCCCTAAGTAACAGTTCTGTGGCCCTCTCAGTAACAATTCTGTGTCTGTCCCTGAGTAACAATTCTGTGGCCCTAACTAACGTTTCTGTGGCCCTAAGTAACAATTCTCTGGCACTCAGTAACAATTCTGTCTGTCCCTGAGAGTAACAATTCTGTGGCCCTAATAACGTTTCTGTGGCCCTAAGTAACAGTTCTGTGGCCCTCAGTAACAATTCTGTGTCTGTCCCTGAGTAACAATTCTGTGGCCCTAACTAACGTTTCTGTGGCCCTAAGTAACAATTCTCTGGCACTCAGTAACAATTCTGTCTGTCCCTGAGTAACAATTCTGTGGCCCTAATAACGTTTCTGTGGCCTGAGTAACAATTCTGTGGCCCTAAACTTTTTGTGCCCTAAGTAACAATTCTGTGTCTGTCCCTGAGTAACAATTCTGTGGCCCTAACTAACGTTTCTGTGGCCCTAAGTAACAATTCTGTGGCCCTCAGTAACAATTCTGTGTCTGTCCCTGAGTAACAATTCTGCCCTAACGTTTCTGTGGCCCTCAACGTTTCTGTGGCCCTAAGTAGCGTTTCTCTGGCCCTAAGTAACGATTCTGTGGCCCTCATTAACAATTCTGTGTCCCTGAGTAATGCTTCTCTGTCCCTAAGTAACGTTTCTCTGTCCCGAAGTAAGTAACGTTTCTGTGGCCCTAACTCTGTCCCTAATACAGAGCGGTCTGCCTCTCTCTTGAATGACTGGAGGCAAATGAAGAATTCTAAAATGGCCGCTATTTATAGCTCGACCATTACACAGTGCTGGCTGGCTGGCTGCTGATTGGCTAATGCGATCAAATGTCATTAAGGAATGCATTATGGGTCAGCGCGCCTTGTCTGCGCGCCTTCCCAGACATCCCCGCTCCGTCGCCGCACATGTCCGCCGCCATTTTAGGAAAAATTTCGATTCGCGCGTCCGAAGTAGGCTATTTTTCGGATTCGGCGCGAATCGAAAATTTTCCAATATTCGACTCGAATTCCACTTCGCCTACTTCGATTCGCTCATCTCTAATTACAATCCCTAAAATGATTCCCTGCTTTAACTTGCTCCTCCCATCTTTACAAGAGGTTACTCTAGCTATAGATTATCTATTGAATTTTACCCCACACCTAAATTGGTATTTTCAGGGTGTAACTCCTATTAGAGACATTATGATTAATAACCAATTAAAAATGTTCACAGCCTAACAGGCTGATTATAACCTCACTAATCAAGAATTCTATAGAATCTTACAAAATGTCCTTGCCCATCCTCTTCCGTTTAGTCTCCTGGGATTTCCCTCTGCCCTTACCCCCCTTTTTTCTCCATCCTTTTCCTTGCCCTCCCCCATCCTCTCCTCTCTCCAGCCCTTCAGCCTTGAAAAACCTTGTTTCCCCATATAAAAACTGATTGCTGTGTAAGCATCCTCCTCTAATGGGAACTTGCATGCCTACTTTCATCTTTAATTTTTTCATTATTGCAAGAATGTGCCATGACCTGCTGTGTTTTATATGACTCCTATCTGCGGCCTATTAGTAATTATATAACTCTGTACTACACTGACATAATTAGTTTGGTTGGAAAAAAAACACAATCCATCTAGTTCAACCAATAAAAGTGAAAAAATGTATACAATCCTATAAACAAAGTTTTATACCCACAGTTGATCCAGAGGAAGCAAAAAAAAAAAAAAAAATCCAATTTGCTCCATCGGGGGAAAAGATCCTTACTGATCCCCCAAGAGCCAATTGGATATTCCCTGGATTAATGTTCCTTGAATAAGTCTACACCGAGTTCTATATATGTACCATCTATGTATTTATACATGCTGATCATATCCCACATATCTCCTCTTCTCAAGAGAGAATACATTCAGTTCCTCTAATCTTTCTTCATAGCTGAGCTCCTCTTATCAGTTTGGTTGTCCTTCTCTGTACTTTCTCCAGTTCCCAGTTCCAGTATGATTTTGATGTTAACCTGTTCATTATTCAATAAACTAATACCTGTTAAAAAAAACTAAATTACAAAGGTATATCCTTTTTCTATTAAAAAAAAAGGCAACAAAAATCAGTTTTCTAAAACCCCCATCATGCTCCAACAGGAACATGAACTTGGAAAGACTTTTTCTGATATCCAGTGGAACATAGCTATCAGTTCAATAGGGCCAATCAATGTGCCAACCACTGGGAAATCCTTCAAAAACCTTTACACTGATGATACCTCACTCCGTACATACTCTTTAAATTCTCTACCTCTACCACTAGCACCTCTTACTGCTAGAGAGACTGTGGAAACAAAGGTTCCCTTAGTTATTCACTATAACACTTGGATTATATTTGCATATTGGCATCACATTTTTAGACTTGTATCAGAAGTAACTTTTATTTCTATGAAACCTTTGCTTGATATGGCTATCTTACATATCAATATAGATAACATTCCCACCTCAGCTAGAACAATTGTCATCCATATTCTGTATGCAGCCACATCGAATATTACACATAGATGGAATACTCCTACCTCTCCAAGATTTCTGGATATCATTAGAGATGTGAATCTTCACTGCTCGCAGGAAAAATGTTTTGCTAAAATGATTGATATAGTATGTTTTTAGGGACCTGAAACATTTGGTTCTCTCTGCCCTACTTTAAGGTTTGAATACTCTACAGGGTTTACCCCTACAATTATTTCCAGAGCAAGCTATTATGATATTGAAGTAGCCAAGCCTGATTTTGCTGCTTGCTATTTGTTATTTTTCCTTTTTGTTTTTGTTGCTTATACAGCTTGCAGTAGTTACTGGAGCTACCGGTACTTAATTTTCTCTGGTGTGTGACTGTTGATTTAACATGATTGTCTTAACATTAAGATTAATTTTAGATTGATATGAAAGCCTTCTTTATGATAGTTATTTACACCTTGTACTCTGGTACCCCATTGTCTGAATAATCTCAGTTACCTCTTGTGTTTTGCATTTATGTACAGTATACAGTATTGCTACCTTTGTACTTCTGTGAGCTTTTGTTCCAGTCTACTAAGTATGTTTTGTGAGAGAATCCTATAGAGACTTACAGGCACCCCCCTAACCCACCCAGAATGTGCACCACGGTACCTATTACAACCCCATAATTACTTCTAAATGTGAACTGTATCTTTGTATTGAGAAATCATCCTATATTCATACCTGATTCCACACAGGAAGAAAACAAAATCTATTAAAAATAAAAAACAATATTAAAGAACACATCATTAACCCAGAAGCCAAAAAAAACCTATACATACCCTTAAAAATCCCAAAGTGCCATCAATCTTTGATATTAGTTTACACCAATATTAATCCACCCTGCAAGTATTCAAAACAATCTACCACTAAATTTAAATAAAAATCAAATTACTCTGGAGTTACACTGTTTGTGGATTTATCACAAATTAACACCCTAGCATGTAAGAAGTTACTTTTAATCACTAACCTGCTTAGGAACAAAAAAATTCCCTATAGGTGGGGTTACCCAACCAAACTTCTAATTAATAAAAAGGGTTCTTCCTTCACAATTTCTTCTTGAAAAAGGGCACTGTTGAGGATTCAAACACAACAAGTCCACCCACAGCACAGTATTCCCAATCTGGGAATTGCAAACTGGATAAGTTGAGACTAAACATTTTTTAGACTTAGACTTATTTTTTTCAGATCTGAGCTCCTAGATTAAGCTGTAATAGATTATCCCCATATGTTCAATAGTATATTGACACCTATACCTGGACCACTCTTCTTTTTAACCCTAAGTAACAACAGCAATATGCTGCCCTTCCATACATTCAACTGCTTTACATTTCTCATACCTCCGGTTAAGGGGGTGCTTGTTTTTTTTTTTCCTTGTTACAGTTTTTACAAACTAGAACTCTTGTATGTGGAATACCTACCTCTACCACCACTTCAATGACATGCACAATGTGTACATGAGGATATACATTACTTGTTTTGCAATTTAGCCACATGAGGTTCATATTCTTATTATCTGCCTCTCTAAGAGAATAGCTAGCTAAATTACTTATATTTTGTCTTTGACATTGAACGTACTTTCACTCAGCACCAAGGGTCTTAACAGCCACTATAAAAAAAAAATCTATGTGGAATGAAGCTAAAAAACTGAAGAGCAATATCATGTGTGTACAAGAAATGTATATCCACTTCCTGAACCAACTGCATTGATTGCAGAAGAGTTTTCCATAATTATTCTTAGCTAACACACCCAAGAGGCAAAGAGGATAGATGATTGCTAGCAGAGACGCTGCATCCTTCTAGCACCACAAAACTGTTATAAATCAACATGGCAGATACAGTGTATCATACTAAAATGTAACTTTAATAATACAACCTACACCTTAATGAATTTGAATGCCCCTAATTTAAATCAATCTGTTTTTTTTATTTTGAATGAAAAAAGGTTATTTGCTTCTTAGAGGAAATTGCTATCTGTATTACAGCTTCTATGAATGAAACATAATCTATGATGGAGAG